AATCTTGCTGCAAGTTTTGCATTAACGCTGTACAATTTTTTTTGGCATGGGTATTTGCCTAGTTCTTTGGCATATAACATGTGCTTGGAACTAAGGAACAGTAATTGAGTGTTTATTATGTACCATGAGGTTCATGCTCATTATATTTCTTGAATCCTCAATTACTACATGTATCAGGTCCTGTTATTACTCCATTTGAGATGAAAAAACAGGCTCAGAGAGTCCAAGCAATCTCTTCCAAGTCTTGTAGGCAGTAAGAAATGGAAAGGGCATTCAAATTCAAGTCCGTAAAACTCAAGCGTCTACTCATGGAACACACTATCTTCATTCTGCTAAGTGTAAATGACATCATCAGTAACTGGATCCCTTTATTTTCTGTTCTTATACCCAAGTCCTTTTGGATCGCATTGCTCCTTCTGCCAGTCTTCTGGGAGTACTGAGCCCTCAGCCTGCATGCCTTAGACTCCTCCTAATATCTATGACCTTTCTGGCAGTTCCCACCTAGATGTCTGCTTGCTCTCAGGTCATCACTACAACGCCATTGATAGCCCTCCTCCACCACTGGTTTTCTGCTTGGAATCAGTTTCTTGTTGCTAGGTTAATATCTCTACCACTAATAATGTGGGCAATTCAAAGACGGGTTCAACTCAGCGCAAGCAGAGGTCTGAGGGGGTGTAGGGGATGAGTGGAAAGAGAAATTTACTTGAGGAACCTTTTTTTTCTTTTTTGAGTTGGAGTCTCACTCTGTCACCCAGGCTGGAGTGCAGTGGCACACTCATGGTCACCCCAGCATTAACCGGCTGAGATCAGAAGGTCCTTCCACCTCAGTCTTCTAAGTAGCCGGAACTACAGGCACATGCTACCACGCCCAGCAAATTTTTTTTTTTTTTTGTGTGTGTAGAGATGAGGTCTCGCCAAGTTGCCCAGACTGTTCTTAAACCCGTGGGTTCAGGCAATCCCCTCACCTCAGCGTCCTAAAGTGCTGGGATTACAGGCTTGAGCCACCATGCCCGGTCGGGGAGCATTTTTAAGTGTATTCATGTGTGTGAAGACACAGTAGTGAAATGAAAAAAAAAAAATCTATCAGCCTACCAGCACCAACTAATCAGAATGGACGTCCATCATGATACTGAAGCTGGTGCTGGAGGCATGCCACTATGACAGGTGTTATCCCGTTAGTTGTGGAACTTGGTGACACCCTAAGAGATCCCAGAGGAAGGCACTTCAGGATCTTGGTCAAGTGGCCATTTATTAACTGACAGAAGAACTTTCTATATTTTAACATGGAATACCAGCCCTGTGTGGGTGGGTCTGGGAGAAGGAAAGAAGATTTCAGAGTGAGAAAAAACTCTTGTGCTCTCAAAGTTGTTTTAAATACATTACATTTATATATTGAATCTTAATCCAATTCACTCCTTTCTTTACTGGGTAGTTAGAATAATCTTTTTAAAACCACATCAGATATTTCCATTCCTCCCCTTAAAATTATATGATGGATCCCACGTCTTCTCCATATGATGATTCCAATTTTCTCTCTGATGAGATAAAAATTCTTAGCCTGGAATTCAAGAAACTGTGTAATCTAGTCCCTGTTGCTGTTTTAATATCTTCTTTTACTCCCAATATGCATACACGTGTGCACACATACTCTGCTTGTCCCCCAGTCATATAACAGTGATTTCATACTTCTGGAACAGAGTGTGTTAACTACCTTTATCCAAGAGTTCTATCCTTGAAAGCTCTCACTACCCCTTCAATACTTGTCTCACTCCTCTGGAAAGCCTTACTCTCCATCTCGGTTTCACTAATAAGTAGAATGTATACAAGGGAGAACAAACAACCAGAATGATCTTTTGGCGGGCAGGCCCCTTGCAGTACAGGCTTCCCCCACTAGGTAAGTGTTAGCGTTGCTGTGAGAGGCTGTGTTTGGCTTCAGTGATTTTTTTCTTGAGATCCTTTCAATGCATTTTCCCTTTTCATGATGGATGATTTGCAATGATGGATGATTTGTGAGCACACCTGCTCACACTGCATTGTGTGTTCAGCAGTTTTTGGCCAAAAATGATATGACCCCTATGCCCCACCTTCCCCATTCACTCAATCTCATCCCAAGGGACTTTTTGTTGTTGTTATTGTTTCCCTAGATGAAAAAAGTCCTCACAGGAAAACATTTTGCTGATGTGGAAGAGGTGAAATGAAAAACGGCAGAAGCACTAAAAGGCATCAAAATGTTGAAGTTATTATTATATTATACAAACAATATGTGGTTTTCTATAGAAATTGGCTTTTGATGGCTCCCGCATGCTGACATTTTTTTTTTCCAGTGAAAAGCATGCAGAAAGAACTCTAAGGCTGTACTGTCAAAATCGTTTTGAACACTGGCAAAAGCATCTTGTTAGGTGTATTGCATCAAACAAAGAGTACTTTGCACATGACTGAAGGTTAAACATGTACGAATAAATACAGAATTTTTTATAGATAAATTCCAGGTTCTTTTGGGTCCCCCTCATACACTTCTTCCTGAGTTCTGATGACCTTTTATCATAATTGTTGTGTTACATGCCATCCCCTTATCCAGACAGTGAATTCCATGTCCTCATGCCCACAGAAGCTCTCTTTTCATCCTTGTGGGCCCTGCCGCTAGCGAATGCCTATGTCATAGTAGGAGGCACTCAATACACAGAATAAATGCATTTCCTGCCATCACTGCCATCCACGTCACAAGAATGTGAGGTACTGAGCGGAGACACAGAGGGTTTTATGATTCATCTGCTGCACAGCCCATATGCGATAGGGTCAGGCTTAATCCAGTTTTCTCATTCAAGAAGGGAAAAGTTGGTGATATTATATCTCTTTACAATGCTCCAATAATTAATATTGAAAAACTTGATAAGGCCCTTTTGTGATACACTGCGCCAAGGCAAGATTCATTTGTCTTCCCCTCCCAAGTCTTATCCTGATTACACTCCGGGAACCCATTCATCAGGCCCTGCTGCATCAGAAACTTTACAGGGACTTTCTCTTTGAGGAGTGTGTCTTAATTACAAAGTCTCCTTACTCTTTATGTGCCAAGCCTTGATGCCGGTTTCCATCCTTCCTCTGCTAACCCTCCTTCTCCTTTTCCTCACGGCTGTCTTGCTCAGGGTCTTGACTTCTAGATGGTGTAGGACTGAGAGCTTGGTGGCCTCTGAGCCCTACCTCCTCACGTGGTTCCTGGAATCCATCAATTCCCCCAGAGCCCTACGAAAGAGTGCTTTTCTGGAAACTATGTTGTGTTGGACTTTTAGACCATGGCCTTGTCCAGAGCTTATATGCAGGTGTGCTGCCTGATTTTTGACTAACTGTCTTTCAGTGCTCCTCTCCAGCTTGGCTAGAGACCTTAGCTCCCCATTCCCAGCTCCCACCCTAACCTCGACCTACTCAATAACAAGTTTTCAACTAATTGCTACAGTTCATTGCTGCCCATGGCATTTCACTCTGGTTTTCCATTACATAGATGTATAGCTGCCTGATAACTACATATTCTGCAATTAGCAGGTAGAGCATTCTAGCTTTTTAATAGAATTTTCTATAGAAATTGGGTCTAGATAGTTATTGTTATAGAATTTATCATATAGAATGTTTTATGTAGAATTTTGAAGTGGTTATTATATTATATAAACAATATGTGGTTTTCTATAGAAATTGGCTTTTGATGGTTACTGCACGCTGACATTTTTTTTCCAGTGAAAAGTATGCAGAAAGAACTCTAAGGCTGTACTGTCCAATATGTTAGACACATGTGGTCATTAAGCTTTTCAATATGGCAAGTCATAAATGAGATGTTCTGTAAGTGTAAAACGTACATCTTACTTCAAGGACAGTATCAAAAAATGAAAATATATTCTTAATAATCTTGATATTAATTATATGCTAAAACAATATTTAATACATTTAGGTTAAATAAAATAGGATATCCAAATAAATTTCTCCTATTTCTTTTTACCTTTTTTTTTTTTTTAAGTTGGAGTCTTACTCTGTCACCCAGGCTGGAGTGCAGTGGCACATTCATGGCTACCACAGCCTTGACCTGCTGGGCTCAGGCAATCTTTCCACCTCAGCCTCCTAAGTTGCTGGAACTACAGGCACATGCCACCATGCCCAGATAATTTTTTGATTTATTGTAGAGATGAGGACTTGCCATGTTGTGCAGGCTGGTCTTAAATTCCTGGGCTCAGGCAATCCTCTCACCTCTGTCTCCCAAAGTGCTGGGATTACAGGCGTGAGACACCATGCCTGGCCTACTTTTTAAATGTGGATAATAAAACATCAAAAATTACATATTTGGTTTATTTAATTTTCAATTGGACTATGTTGCAGTAAGGACATGTCGTGCAGTTCCTTAATGTTAGTCAGCTAACTATCCATAGATGGAATGGAAAGGTAGTGCCAGATTTAAAAGTAGAAAAGGTTATGAATGACAGAAGGAAGCTTCTGCCCTGATTTTTAAATTTATGTTCCCTGTGCACACTGACATGCCACCTGCCTTGACAAGCTTTGAAGAGAAGACCCTATCATCTCCAGAGAAATGAGGCTGAACCAAATGGCATTTTGTCTATGGCTCCCTGCGTGGTGCCTAACCTCAGAGGCTTAAAATCAATATTGATTTTTATTATTTATTTTCCCCCAGCATTTAAATTAGCCCTTAGATTTATTACCTTTGGGTTTTTGGTGAAGTTTCAGCGATGAGTGTAATAGCAAGGATGGTAATAAGTTATGTAGATATCATTTAATTTATGAACTCTGCAGCTCCAAGGTAGCTTTCAGTTCAAGAAATATATTAACCACACGCACATCACCCTTCATTCTGTGGTGAGGATTTCCGAGCTGGGTCCCTATCGTGCCACTTAATTTATGGCCTGGCCAGGTACATGGCTCTTCATACAATATTTCAACACAAGCTGCATCCACCATCAGAGGGATGAAGACAGGCTTCCGAGAAGCCAGCTGGACGGCTGACAGATTGCTCTCACATCCATTGGCTGGGGCATTAAGTAGCTCTTAAAGTTTGTCAGTGGTTTGGGTCTTTTTCTGCTCTGAGAAGCTGCACGCACCGGCCCAGCCAAGCAGAATCAGCCATGCTGCATCAGACAGAGGGCAGCTCCCAGAGTTACTTACGTTGACAGCCGTAGTGCCAGGAATTTCCCGGCAGACACTTATCACACTTAGGCCCTGTCGTTCCAGTCTTACACTCACAAAATCCTGAGCCATTACAACGATCATGGATTGAGCCCAAAGGGTTACAATAACACTCTGTAGAAACAAGACAACACACAGGCTGGAGACAAGTCTGCATGGCTTATAGGTCATCAACACAGGAGCGTCAGTTACTTAAATGCATCACTTACTTAAAGAAAGATGTCCGCTAATGAAATGCTTTGACAAATATGGCTATTTCAGGACCATTTATTTATTTGCTCAGCCTTCATTTTTATGATATGGGAGGAAATCAACTGCAAACTTCCAAGGAAATAAGGCATCGTGCTTTTCACTGGAAATTCCGTTTGGTAGGGCATTTTTAGATGGTTTAATGAATACCATGAAAAGTTTGTATATCAAGGATAAATCAATATGCCATCAGTGTAAAATCTGTTTTAAATTATTCAAATGGGCTTAGCCATTACATTCAATATTTGAGAAGTGCTGAACATTCTTAAAGTATAATATGAATGCACTTTGCTCATTCAAGGTAGTTTTACTTTATGATTTGGGGCAGCACCTTAACTTACTTATGAATATACTGTTTTGTGATGAGTCTTTACATGTCTTTGCTAGGCATATTAATACAGCTTTTATGCCGCCTAGATTAAAAATCATAACAAATGAATTTTAAATCCCAAATAAATTTCGATGCATGTATAATGTGAGATGTGTGTTTTTCATTATAAGGTCTGCTGGTAGGACAATGCTACTTTGTGTAATTAAAAAGTTAATAGAACGTTCTCTTGATTCCTCACACAATCTTATATGGAAAATTTTTATTTCTGAAGCTCTATTTTGCTTAAAGTTCGAGTCAGACATGGGGTTTTTTAGGCTTCCATGAGCTTGAAAGGTAGTACAGGTGGTTTGCAGCTTTTGCATTTTGTGGGCTGAAGTTTCTTTCCTCATCAACCCACAGTGTAATCTTGGCCAAGTTATTACGGCTCTCTACCTCTCAGTTTCCTTTGTCTTAAAATGGGCCCATTAAGAGGTTCTCTTGCTAAAAACCAAAGAAAATCATTGCATCCAACCAGCCAAACAACCAAGAGAAGTCCTGAGAACTTAGCTTAGTACCTTAGATTCACTATAGGAATTAAAGGCTTAATATTATAGGGGAATTCAGGGGTTTGACTCTAACTTTGTGTCAGAGACTAATTAGACAATTTCTTCAGACTTGGAATACTTTAGAGCTATGATTTATTTCATGTTAATTAAGTCAAGTATTAAGTTCAGTATTCTTACAAAATAAACATTTATTAGACTAACAGTGATATAGGTAGATATAAGTAAAACTTAATAAACTCTAAAATGCTTCCTCCTCATCTGGTTTGGCTTGTATGTAATAACTAGCGTTTTAGCTTAGATTAGTGCTGTCTATTTTAATGTGTATACATCTATGAGAGCTGTTTAAAAGATATTTTAAAATAGTCATTTAGTTGTAGCTTTTAATGTTTGTCTGTGGATATTTGTAAGTTTGTACCTATACCAAAATTGTAATTTTTTCTATTTAAAAATGCATAAGTTGACAATGAATCTCCAAAATTTTATAAGCCATGGAGCAGATGACATTTGATCTGAATTCAATTGACTCTAGTCAATTAGCCCATAGCAATTAATTAATACAAGGTTTAGATGTAAAACATATAAACCTTTTTATTTTTTTAAAGCGGACCATTGAAACTATAATACATTTCTTTCTTTCTTTCTTTCTTTTTTTTTTTTTTTGAGTTGGAGTCTCACTCTGTCGCCCAGACTGGAGTTCAGTGGCCGCCCCCGGCCACCGCAGCCTCGACCTGCTGGGCTCCGGCGATCCTTCCGCCTCAGCCTTCCAAGTAGCCGGAATTACAGGCATGTGCTACCACGTCCAGCTGATTTTTTGATTTATTGTAGAAATGAGGTCTCCCTGCCCAGGCGGGTCTCGAACCCACGGGCTCAGGCAATCCACTCACCTCAGCCTCCCAAAGGCATGAGATTACAGGCTGAGCCACCAAGCCCGGCTTATAATACATTTCAATAGCTGTCACAGGAAAAGCTGACAAGTGTACCGTTACTCAAACAGTCATGAAAATAAAGGACAAAGAGAGGTGTGGCTTTCCCTTCACCTTATATAACAGATAACTCAGTTTATATAAAATATCATTTACGGAACTATGGTGAATGGTGGATGTTAGGATGATGGGAATGGACTTAGAAGATCATATTTTATTCCACGAAACTGAGAAGAACATGTACGCCTGTTCGATGCCAGAGTGGCATGAGATTTTTTGAGGGGGCATGATTAGAAATTTCTACCACAATTGGTTTATAGGTATTTAAAGTGGCTTGTGTTTGCTTTATTTCTATTTAAGGTACCTCCGATGACTTGATCTTGGATTTCAAGGATAATTAAAAATAATACATCATAACTTTGAGATACATTTAGCAGCAATCGCTGAACCCTGTGTTTCATTGTGATGCAGAGCTTGTTAGCAGGATTATTAACAGTGATTACCCAAGGTCACAAACCATATATCCTCCAGCTTCCTGCTTAATGCTCAAGTTTATAGGAAACAGAAGCATGGAGGAATGTCATCTTCTGTAACTGCTGTATTGTCACAGAGTCATTACATGCATCTTTGGAGACATGCCTGTATTTGGAATTTGTATGATAAATGGATAAATTCATCAGTAATCACAAAACAGCAATCACTGTGGCAACATGGACCAGACACATTTTATATTTGCCATAATATAAGATGATGCCGGTATTTTAAAACATCTATTTCAACACAGAGCCTACATTTTGTCAAAGATATGAGCTGCTCCTTTGCAGCCAGGGTGGTGAATTTTATTGCCAATTGTTAAAGGATTGGCAAAGTGCCTTTAAAAAAAAGTTTTGGAGAAGGCTTAGATGAAATTAAAAGTTTCCAAGATTATGTGAGTGCCTTATTCTGTAAAAATGAATTGGGTAAATATCCACTCATTTTCATTAGTGCTTTCTATTCAGAATGGTTCTAAAATTAACTCCATTATGTGTAGTGTATCCTCTCAAATATAACACTCAGTCCTGCCTCAAGTCCTTTGGGAAACTTAAATGTGGAAAATAGTGACTGGGTCCGTGTTGTCTCATGGGGTAAACCTTGGTGAATGGAGGCAAAAGCTTTCAGGGGCTCTCAGAGAGGGTCTTAGTCTTAGTGCAAAGGCAGCCCCAATAGCATTGCCCTCGCCCTGCAAGTGGGGAAAGTCAAATCTACAGCTTTTTAAGGAAGTTGTTATTGATGCATTGTATGCATGTGAAAATCAAAGATAAAAGACAGACCTTAGCACACACCAGTTAGCCAAATTTTTCACTTCATTTTAAAAAAACAATTTTCCCCTTTAGGAAAAGTGCAACAATTTAAGAAATTTTGTATGTGGGAAGATGATGTAGCTCATTTTTAATATATCTATATTATATATGCAGCTTTGTGCTTAACAAGTTCTTTATTTGGTTTAAAATACAACATATTGTTGGGAGCAGAGGTTCATGCCACTTTGGGAAGCTGAGGCAGGAGGATTGCTTGAGCTTAAGTGAATTCAAGACCAGCCTGCACAACATAACAAGAACTCATCTCTACCAAAAATAAATAATCTAAGTGTAGTGGCACACGCCTGTAGTACCGGCTATTCAGGAGGCTGAGGAAGAAGGATCATCTGAGCTCAGGAGATTGAGGCTGTGGTAAGCTGTGATCGTGCCACTGCACTCCAGTCTGGGTAACAAAGCGACACCCTCAACTCAAAATAACTAACTAAATAAATCATTAAATATATAAAATAAAAAACATCTTTCCCCTTTAGGGAAAGGGCAAAAATTTAAGGAATTTTGGTATGTGGGACTATGTAGCTAATTTTAATGTACTATATATGTGCATCTTTGTGCTTACCAAGTACTTTACTTGGTTTAAAGAATATAAAATACTAAAATAAAAATACATTTGCTTCAATAAAATAAAATTTCCCAAAGGTTTATGGTTTTAGTTAACACATTTTCTAGAAATGGAAAAAAATAACAGTGCTTGAGTTTTTTAAAAGTAAAAATAAAAACAAAAATGAATATTAAGTTTTCTATATTTATTCTGTAGTTTGTTTTTGATTTAAAGAACAAAACATATTTTTTATGTTTTATGATTTAAAACATATTTTCTATGTTTTATGGTGTAAAAAACAAAAGCTGAATAAGGTGTCTTCTAGACTTTGGATAATCAGACATGAATTTACAACAGAACTACGCCTCTTAAAACTGGACAAAATGATTCAGATTTGTACTTTATAGTTAAGTTTGAAACTGGAAAAAGGCCAAATTTCATAATAATAGTATACTCTGAGCAAAACATATTGGAATGTTACGTTATCTGCTATGAGAACTTTATTTTGGAATAAAACGTTTTCTTTTAAGGCCTCTTTGGATTTTTAAAAAAATAATATTAAACACTGTAAAATATTTTAATCTTAGATATTTTGTAAAAATGATTGTGTTTTATTCCTGTGTTCCCATTTATTTTAGCTTTTCTGTTGTTTCTATATTTATAGCATGATATTTACATATTTTCACAAACAGCATTCAGTGAAATGAACTCTGCATCCAAAGTTCAGCAGCTGCATGTCTCTTGACTTTTATTAACATCCTCAAATCTTTGTAACCCAGGTGTTAGAAAAGCAATTGAACTTCCTCTATCCATAGCTCGTAGAAAAATTGATGCTGTCATCCAAAAAGCAAACCATAAGCAAAAGTCTGACAAGCTTAGCTTTGCTAATTGTGTCAGAGTGGTTGAGACAAAGGGTTGAAGCTTTGGAGTCAGGAAACCCTTGCTATAGCTGTATGATTTGGTTCAATTTCCCTTAAATTTCTTAACTAGACACTAGGGGAAGTTACTGGTGTAATACTTACCACACCGTTTTGTTAATGAGGACTAAGTAAAAACAAAACATATGTGCAAATGTGTTCACAGTTCACCATGTGTTTCCTGTGTTTCCCATAAGACTGCTGTGAGTACAAGGCTGGAAGGACTTACCTATGGCACACTGCTATTAAATAGCAAACAGGGATTCGAACCCCAGCTCTTTGGTCTCTAAGTCCAATTCTTTCTCCACTAATTCACAAATAATAAATAAGATGCTTTGAAAAACAGAAAATACTGTAGACATAAACAGTGCTATATGTCTTTGGCTCAATTTAATGAAAAAAACTGTTTGACTAATGTGACACTTGGATTTTGACAATCCAATGAGAGAACAATAATCTCAGAAATAAAGACTGAATTTCTTTTTCTATTAAAAAAATCACGTCATTCTTCAACTTGTGTATTCTACTGAATGTAGTCTCTATGTGAAAACTTCTACTCTTAAAATCAGGTGCCTATACAACTACTTATGGGTGTGATAACAGAGACACACATATTTTCCAACATTTCAAATATATGCATTTCTTCAGAGAGAATTGTGAAGTGAAATTCCATTTACTGTTCCCATTCTAAAAGACAGATTCCCTTATGCAAAAGATGAGAGAAGTTTTGCTGGGTGGGAAAGTCATCTGGTCTTCCCCAGGTGATAAGAGTGGCTGTCCCTGGCAGAGTGGGAGGGGAAGGGCTCAGGGACCCTCTTGGACTCAGTGTTCCAGGACTATTGCACTTTGGAAGCCAGGAGAATGAATTGCATAGAATAGTTCTGAGACATTACTTCTCCTTTTGGGGGCTGTAGGAAAATTCAATAAATGGAATTTCATTACTACAGATGGGAAAAAGTCAGGCAAACTTCTACACTATCAGTTGCTAGTTGTTTTCAGTTCCAAAGAGTAACATTTTTAATCCATCAATACTTATTGATCACAAATTAGGTGCAAGAGATTTGTACCCCCAATTTTTCATATATAATTAAATCTCATATCATGAATTTCTATTTTGAAAGTTGACTATATCAATTAAGGCTACAAGATCAGTTAGAAAAGATCACATTTTAAAATTTCATGCAAAAAAAAAAAGACAATTCTTCATTTCCAAAACACGATTTCTCAGCTCATCATCTTTATAGCAACAACAACATAACGATTCAAAATATAATCCCCCACTATGATTTCAATCAGTACCAGTGAATCTTAAGTCTACCCCAGGATATTTGCTCCACTGAGAAAGTTCATCCTGGCTCAGCCGTGGTGCACATCACAGCCTCTCCGCCCTAAATGGCTCCCCATAGCTCGACAGGCACAGAACAATAGCTGAAATAATAATGGAACTGACCTATGCACACATTCTCATCGTCCAGCTGTGCAGAAGCATTTCTGAAGTAGCCCAGCCTGCATAACTCACAGTGCCGCCCTCTAGTGTTGTGTTTACAGCTCACGCAAATGACTGTATTGAGCAGATCAATATAACTGCATCGATTGGAGTGGCCGAAGCATTCACAGTCTTGCAAGGAAGAACAGAAATGTATACAGAGTGTATACGGTAGCAGAGTCATAGCACACCACATGCTCGGATAAAATGGGGGATGGAGAGAAGATGGCGCCATGGCATTACATACATGTGATTCAACATGACACACAGCAACAACAGGTGGCTGGGACTGGCATGGAAGCAGCATCTGTTTCAAGCAGGAGAGAAAGGTCGGACATTCGGAACATGGACTGAAGAGTGTTCATTCTTGGCAGACGAGATGAACAGAAGCATTTGCAGGTGTGCACCTTTTAGGATGTGGAAAGTCTCCATTTCTCTTGATGAAAAAGGCTAATTTTTGCACATGGAGAACTTTACCATCTTTACATCACCACCCCCATTTTCTCTTCATATTTGCAATCTTAAAAAAGAGGGAAGGAGGTGTATGAGCCTGGAGGGTCTGAATCCACCCTTACCACACCTACCGCTCGTCATGCCAAGACAGTAACTCAAGATTTTAGAGAACTCCTGGCAAATTTAATAGCGATCTTGACAACTAAACAATTTATTCTTGTTTTTCTCCAATGCTAAGAGAGGAAGATAGCCTTCTTAAGCCTTTCTTCAGGCTGAATCTGTATGTTTGTATGTGAGAGAAAACATGGAAAAAAGGAAGATTATTTGCATGAAAAAGGGATGTTAAGATTTCCTTTTAAGTTTCAAGTGGAGTCCACTACAAAAGAAGGGTTAGACAGCCGCTGTCACCCCAGATTTCTGTTCCGTTGTCTCACCGCAATGCTAGAGGTGCCTTTGAGGTTAGGAGTGAGGGTGGTCAGAAATAACAGGAGGATAAGAAAGGAGACTGAGGGTAAGTAGCAGGGAAGGGAGGAGGGTGACTGGATTTCCTCTTTCTTGTATTTCAACCAAAGCAAGACACTGTAAATTCACTTCAACCTTTCTTTGTAAAAGAAATGATCAAGACAAAGCCTCTGGTTGGTAGAAATCATTATCAAATCAAATAGAAAAAAAAGCATGGCCTGGCAAGGTGACTCACGCCTGTAATCCCAGCACTGTGGGAGGCTGAGGTGGGAGGATTGCTTGAGACCAGCCTGGGGAACAAAGTGAGACCCTGTTTCTACAAAAAATAAATCAGCTGGGCAAGGTGTTATGTGCCTGTAGACCCGCTGCTCAGGAGGCAGAGGTGGAAGGACTGCCTGAGCCCAGGAGGTTGAGGCTGCAGTGAGCTATGATCGTGCCACTGCACTCCAGCCTGGACAACACAGTGAGACCTCAACTCAAAAAAAAAAAAAATTGAAAAGTGTGAGAGGTAAGTAGGTGTGGGAAATCAATTTTGTCTTCTTAAGATATGGGATTAGATCTAGCTGGACATTTATAAGGAAGGGAACCATGATACTGCAAACTATGTTTGTCTAAAATACTTCTCTCATTAATGTCTAGTTTTTTTTTATCCCACTAGGAGGTCAAACACAGTCACTATTTGAATTCATTCATTCATTCATTCAATAAATACTTTATTGAGTTGGTCTCCTGTGTACTGGGAATTAGGCTAGGTGCTAAGTTACTCATTTGGTCTAGATAAAACTTTGGAAATTCTAATGAACAGAATAAAAATGAATAGGAATTGTCAAGTAAAGAAGAATAAGAATAATTTTTAAAATGATTAACATGCTACCACCCATGAGAGCAGTTTGGATTCACTTTTTAGAGAGCGTGTTACTACAATAGAGAGCTGAGGTTGAGGTCCTGATGGAATGGAATCGAATTTGGTTAGAAGCAGAAGAGGACACTGAAAATGGTGAAGAGGAGAAGATGACCAGATATAGCACTGGCCGCTTGGGGATCCCAGATGCTAAAAAGAGAAGCAAGAAGAAGGGGAGGACCCCTGAAGTCAGGCCGCTTCCTCCATTTACAGTTTGCTGTATTGCCGGGTATATGTGTACAGGGAATGGAAGCTGGGGTTGGGGACAGGGAGAAACCAGAGGGAGATGGAGCATACTGGGAGAAGAAGGCCTTGAGACGCTAGTGCAGGAGATGGAGTAGGAAGGCACCTGAGTAAAGTTAGAGCTAAGGCATGCCAAGTCAAAAAAACACCGCCGCCAGTAATAATAATAGTAGAGTTACAGATTTCAAAATTAACAACTCTTGGAGAACAACAAACATTTCACCCCAATCCGCTATACCTCCCTGAGTTACACCTTGTTTAAAGGACATTTCTCACTCCAGAAACCAGAAGAAAACCAGAAAGGCTTCTAGAGCTTTCCTTGGTTGAGAGGTTGAAACAGGGAGAATCATTCTGGCCTAGAGTCTCCCAGAAGCAGTGGCTGCAGGGAAGAAACCCAACCCAAGTCTCCAACGCTAATTGCTGCCCAAGGTCTTCCCCCAGAGCTGCCTGGAATTTCCAGCAGGGGCAGCAACAGCCCTGCCTGCCCTCAGTTTCCCTTCTCTGGAGGAAGCCCCTTATTGGTTTCCTTAGTCGGAATCCCAACCCGGCTTGGTCCTTGGTGCATCCAACTTAATTAATCCAGTATTTTTCAAAAGCATCTTTTATGTGCAAAAATTTACTCTAGGAGTTTTTTTTTACAACTACACAGAAGCTTATTGTCCAGAAAATACACGTGTTCAGATAACTAGAAAACAAAATAATGTGTTCTAAGAAAACAAAGTAGTGACACGAAGGAATCTAAGTGGAAGGTAAAATTCATGTAACTGGAGGGGAGTTAGGAAAATGTCCTGCAGGACTTGAACTCTGACTCTTCCTTGAGGACAATAAAAAATAAACAAGGCAGGTGCAGTGGCTTGGTAATCCCAGTGGCTTGGTAATTCTAGCAATTTGGGAAGTTGAGGAGAGAGGATTGCATGAGCCCAGGAGTTTGAGACCAGCCTGGGCAACTTGGTGAGACCTCGTCTCTACAATAAATCAAGAAAAATTGGTGGGTGTGGTGGTGTGCACCTGCAGTTCTGGCTACTTGGAAAGCTGAGATGGAAGGATTGCCTGTGAGCCCAACAGGTGGAGGCTTTGGGGGCCGTGAGCATGCCCCTGCACTCCAGGCTGGCGGACAGAGTTAAAAAGAATAAAACAACTCTGACTTAAAAAGAATAAAAAACAAACAAATAAACAAACAGGAGGAAATGAGCATTGCAGTTTAAAGGAGTAGAATGAAGAGTGAACAAAGGTGTGAATTTGAAGAAATGTAGAGAATAAGGCCAGATAATTTTCATAACATGGTTCCTTTGTGGGTATTTAAGAGTCTGTAGAGTCTGCCCAATGCCAGAATTACATTCTTAGCTCCATCTGACAAAGCTGTAAGATATTCAAGTTCAACAACTTAAGTCTCATCCCACGAATCTCCATGGACATGTTAAATGTGACATTGCTGCTACTATTATTTGTGCTTAATGAATGATACACATTTCTAGGATGGCATCAATTCTTTATTTGTGGGTTTTGTTTAAAAACCAACCTTATTAATGTTGATAGGAAAAGTTAAATACTTACATAAGAAACCGCACTCAGCTAAACACAAAATATTATAAACTTGTTTCAGAAGGTAAGCAGATATTTAAGATGTTTCATAAGCATTAAAATATCTCATAATCTAGGAAATGGGAAAGTAATCGCTTGATACTTTTAAGACTTCTAGCACTCTCCCGAGACTTTGATAAAACTATCTTATCGTGCTGTGACATATTTGAGAATATAAAATGAGAAAAGGATTTTTGAAAATGATTTGCAAAACATGAGAGTATTATATAAATGCAAAGCATTGAAAAATAATATGTGATATTATTTTTCAGTATTTTGTTACTTTCCCACTCTTTGGTACGTGGCTTTTCCATATAGTCATAGAACCCATTAGTGATACAGTTTGAACTGCATTATCATATTAAGATCCCGATGGGATGATATTAATAGTTTAATAATTCTTTGATTCTCCAATGCACTGCCTCCCATGACCTCTCATTCCTTCTTAGGCACTGAGTACCTAGGCCATCCTTATAAACACTTTCTGTATATAATCCTTTGCTTTGTCACCCCACCACAATGATAGTCTCTGGGGAAAACCTAATCCTGGTTGAATTCAGCTCTCCATCTCTTCATGTTCATACCCTGGTAGCTAAATAAGGCTGAAGGTTTTCTCTAACCCTTTGAAACAGGTCCCTCGAAGTTCATGACCATAAACTTCAACAGAGTCCTCTGGGCTGCCAGAAATCCTTTCCCAAACAGGAGATTTCGGGGGCCGCCGCTATCTCTTGGTTCTTCTCCTTCTCCACCCATCACTGCTTTTTTTCTCTCTCTTCCTTTTTGTCTGCATCCCCTCAAATGTCTCAGGGCCTGGTCCTTGGACCTCTTTGTTCCTTAAGTTCCCCTTAGATGTCTCATACCCACGCCCATGGTCTATATGGGGATTATTCCAAAAGAGTTATTTCCTGGATAGAATGACCCATCCCCAGTGAGGTAGTGAGATTTTATTAAGTCATATATTGTATTCACCTGCCTTCTTAGTGTCTCTACTTGGACGTTTAATAAATATCTCAACTTTAACATGTGCAAAAGTGAGCTCTTTGGGTCACCTCCCTGAATCGGCTGTTCACACAGGCTGCCTCATTTCAGTAAATGCCATGTCCCTTCTTCCAATCGCTTGACTTAAAATGACTGGGTTTGTTCCTGACATCTTTTCCCTACCCTCTTACAAAGAAATCCCTCAACAAATCTTCCTGACTGTGCTTTAAAAACACATTCCAGATCTCACAACCTCTCACTGTCTCAACTACAGCATCGTTAGATCAAGGTGCCAGCGCCCCTCAACTGAACTAATGCCATTATCTCCAAATTGCTCTTCTGGCTCCCACCCTTGTGACAGTCTCCTCTCTATATGAAGGGACAAACAAAAAAAACCCCAGAATTATTTTTTGGAAGGCGGGTCTCTTGTAGTACAGGCTTCCCCTGTTAGCTAAGTGTTCTAGGAACCCACTGGCATCAGTGTACCAGCTATCCTTGTTGTGAGAGGCTTCAGTGAATTTTTTTGGAAATTCTTTCAACGCACTTGCACATTTCTTGATGGCTGATGTACAAGCACACCTGCCCACACCACACTGAGTGTCCAGCAGTTTTTGATCTAAAACAGCATGACCCCTGTGCCCCACCCTCCCTATTGACCCGATCTTGCCCCAAACAACTTTTTATTTGTTTCTCCAATGGGAAACATGCTACCAATGTGGAAGAGGTAAAACAAAAAGCAGCAGAAGCACTAAAAGGCATCAAAATGGACAAATTCAAAAACTATTTTGAGCAGTGGAAAAAGCATCCCAATATGTGTATCACATCAAAAGGGGACTACTTTGAAGTTTGACTGAAGTTTAAACATGTAAGGATCCATACTCAATTTTTTATAAATAAATTCTGGGTTTTTGGGGTCCCTCCTTGTACATCAGTCAGAGTGACCTTTTCAAAACTTAAATGAGGTCCTGACATGCCTCTGCTCACCATCCTAACCACTTCATATCTTATTCAGAAGAAAAGAGGAGGTGACTCATTCCCTAGGGACTTGGCCCCTGGCTTCCTCTGGGGCTCTCCCTCTCCTCCTTAGTAATGCCTATCACCTCCATGCAGCTCTTCAGTCTTGTCAAACACTTCCCAGGGCCTTCACACTTGCTGGCACCTCTGTCTGGAATACCATGGCTTGCATCCTCACTTCTGGTTTTTGTTTTCTGAGTTGGGGTCTCACGCTGTCATCCAGGTTGGAATGCTAGTGGCACCTTCATGGTTTACCACAGCCTCAACCTCCTGGGCTCAGGCAATCCTTCTGCCTCAGCCTCCTGAATAGCAGGGACTACAGACATGTGCCACCAGATTTGGCTAATATTTAAAAATTTTTTTGTAGAGATGAGGTCTTACTAGGTTACCCAGGTTGGTCTTAAACTCCTGGGCTCAAGCAATCCTCCTGCCTTAGCCTCCCAAAGTGCTTGAAGTAGTGTGAGCCACTGTACCAGGCCACCCCACTTCTTTTTTAGGTCTCTTTTCAAAGAACATTCTGACCATTTTTTCCTTGTTCACACACCTTAATCTTCTAATTTCCTAATCCTGCTTAATAATTTTTCATAGACTTTATAACTCCAAAAATATATTCAAGAAAACATTTCTCTCCCTATACTCTGAGTGTAAATACACAAATGCAGACTGTGTCTGTGTCCACATCTGTATCCACAGAACTTAAAAACATCACCTGGCATATACTAAGCACTAAAAAAAATGTTGTGAAATGAATGAATGAACAAATGAGTGATGATCCTAAGACACCTTCCTTTGGGAAACAAAGGAAGACACGGAGAAAAGTTGTTTAAATTCATTCCTCCACCATTCAGATTCCCTGAGAGGGTCTGGTTATATCCTAGATGTTCAAGAGTTTAGAAAATCAACCACTACACGACAAGCTACAACTGAATTAGTGATTATTTTAACTGAGAGTTGACTACATGTCTTTGCACAGATCAGTTTAGGCAGGAAAAAAAAAGCAGATTTTTGAAAATTGCTATGGTTTCATATAGTTGCTCTGCTCAAATTGCATTTCAGACAAGTTTCATTGCTGCTGTGTAAGCAAATCTAAATGTGTCTCAAAACGCTTGTCCATGGTGTGGCACGTCAAGAATTGTTTTTTGAGAATGACTCTAGACCAGGCACCTTGTACCAGGAGGCAAAGGGAATAAAGTTGGGCCCTAGAGAAGCCAGTGTAGGGTTTCTTAGCGTTGGCGCTATTGACATTTCGGGTCAAATAATCCTTCGTTGTATGGTGCTGTCCTGTGGATCGTAAGATATTCAGAAGAAATCCCCAAACTGTGACAACCAAAAAAATGACTCTAGACATTGCCAAAAGTCACCGGTGGGGGGAGGGGGGAAGGGGGCAAAATCCTCCCCCCAATATGTGATATATACTATAGCATATAAAGCAATTGTGATAATAAGGCACTTAGTAACTAGCTAGTAAAGGGCAATAAAAGCTCAAGGTGCTTTAGAATGGGGAAAGTTCAAAGCTGACTTTCTAGATCAGTATAGACTCAAGCCTCTTCCAAGGTTTAAAAGATTCCTTCTGACTGACACAGGCTAGGGAAGACCTGGGTAGGCAAGTTGTAGAAAATAAACAGACTGGATACAGAGTATGGAAGGAAAATAATGTTACTAAGAGGAGGGGATTAATTTTGTCTTTATGTCTTCTTTCTTACCATTCCCATGTTGCCTGTAATTACATTATTTGATTACCTATGTAAATCGAACATAAAATACTCTGAATGCAGTACAGGTTTTTTTTTTTTTTTTTTTAAACCAAATAAGGAAAGCTTATTTAAATCCAGAACCAATGCAAATCCAGTTTAGTCATTTAAAAAGAAAGAATTTGGGAGAAAGACTTACAATAAAAGTTCGTGAAGGATTCAGAACCCTAACCAGTATTTTCCCTTCACTGCCTGGAACACAGTGATTGTGGGCACGTGGGGCGTCAGCATCTTCTTGATTTTTTCCCCACTCCCACCTTGCCTTGCATCCCTGTGTAGCTACCAAAACTCTTCCACACACATCATTTGATGACAATGTGAATCTTCCCATGCCAAATCTATCCCCTTAGGTGGCTTCTTCCTAAGTCTCCAGGGATGTGTCTGGACCCAATTACTGCTGTGTCCTTAAGAACCTGAAATCAGTGAGGCAGGGCCAAACTCCAGGTCAAGGGCCTCCTATATACCCAGTGTGCTTGGCATGGCAGAAAAGAGATGGTTTTTATACGTCCCTCTGCATCCCTTCTCCCTCACCTTCTTTGTTTCTTTCCACATGACCGTTCCACTGTGGCTTCGTTGACTGTCCAAACTGGTTCCTTACCCTCTGAACCTGCAGCTGCTTTCTTCTGAAAGAACTAATTTCCTGAAATTTCAAACCCATTTGGATTCCCCTCGATCCAAATCGGCACAGTCAACAACACATTGTAAGAAAATTTTAAGACAGGGTTTAAACACAGTGGCTTTCTCTTTTCCCATCTACTGACCAGTTTCTTCCATCTCTCTAGGTGCCACAGAAGGACACATTCTACACTGATTAACATGTGGAAAATGACCTGACTAAATCCAATAAGGAATAAGGAAACTATTGCGATCATTTTCACCAAATAGGTCAAGTTAATTTCAAATTTAATTAATAAATGTATTTTTTAAAAAGGTGTTTCATGAAAAACATAAAAGAAAAACACAACCAAAAAGTGACATATGTCCAACAGTCAAGGGTGGAAAACAAGTCACACCTGTTACACAGGACATTTAAAGGAAAATAAAAACAGAAGTCTTTATGTTTCCTGAAAAATCTTCATTCTTTGAATGACAAATGCTAGTTGGAATGGGCCATTCATGAGTCACAGATGAGATATTGCTCACTTTCATTTAAAGAAAGTAATATAAATGTTATTTTTGGATCATATGCAACACTTAACCCAGTGCACATCTTCACTGGTATTTTTCAAATTTATTCCAAACAACGTTTGGAAGCATAAATTCCAAGGTGTTTCAGTTGTCACAAGGTGAAATGGGATAACATACACAGAACTTGCCATTCTGATCTCATGAAAAGCATCCTTGAAACTCACTCTAAGTGAGTTTCCTTGTTTTTGAGGCAAGTTGAGTATCAATGTTAGTTCTCTAACATTCATGGCCTAAATGGAAACCTTAACCATTATAATTCTTATTCACACATTAATCTTTCAGAAAACAAATGTTGCAGCATTTTTACTTGCAGTCAAATTTCTGAGTGAAGCATTTTTTTTTCTTACAGGTGATGTTTGGTACTATTTGATGCATTGGTCAATATCAGTCAACATGCCTCACCAATAAGCTGATGGGTACACTTCACAAATATTCCAGATTCATACAGTGCAATGTTTCACAACACATAACACCATGGAATCACTGTATGAATCCAAGAATTCCTACCTCTCTTGTGGTTTGCAACTTGAACAGAAGAAACTGTTGACAAAGCTAATTTGGGAGCAACTGGATAGGTTTAAAAGAATGAACAGTAAATTAGAAACAATTGTGAAACTTCCAAACTGTAATAACTTATCATCAACCCACTTGAACAGTAGCCCTAAATGAAGAAACTATTTGTATCTGTTGTTCTGGGAGTTTGTTTCAATGACAAAGGAAGGCTTTTATTAGGCTGAAAATGGTTCAACATTGTCAGTAATAAAGTTTAGAAGTTTTATTTTGAAAAGCAAAAAGAATTACTGTTTAAATCAAGAATCTAGTTAAGCAAGGATTGCTCCCAATAACAATGTGGATACTAGGATCCCAGACTGTCCCTCTTTTGAAATAGCAGCTATGCTGTTAATTAGCAATATTATTGCCTCAATCCACCATGCCATTCGGTGTCACCATAAACTCGTCTACATATGAACAGGTTAGACTATTTTTGTTGAACTGATTACACATCACAGAACATAGTCCCAGTGGCTGCCCATATAGCAGCATTTGAGTCTTGGTCTCAGTCACCTTGAACTGTGTACCTTTAAAAATTGTAGTCTTCTCAGACTTATAACCTTTGGGATGATCTCAGCTTGTGAATGACAGTGCTTTCTCTCTATGTTTGCCTGCCATTTCTTTTCCAATTATTCATGAAGAGTGGCTTACGAAAATAATAAAAACAGAACAGAGCTGAATGTTCTTGGCAGATGTTGGCAAGATCAATTGTGATCGCATAGCACTGGCCTCTGTTGCAAAGTGCAGGCAACTTATTCAACTGTGCTGCTTCTCTGATTCATTTGAACTCACTATCCATGTTCTAAAAAAGTGCAGTGTGACTGATATTACCTAAAGATATTTCTGAAAGTCTTTTGTCCTGTGACACTCACAGAAAACACAGCACAATAATTAAATGGGTCTGTTTCAGGTTTTGAACTATGCATAATCTTGTTCAGCTCAAAACTCACTGTGGAGAAGTGGTAAGGCTTAGATCCTGTTTTGTATAATTTGTTGAGCTATGAAATTCAATGGGAAACACTGAATGACATTTCACTGAAGATGCTGTCATTGAACCTGCCAAGGAATAAAGCCACTCAGCCTCCCCTGAATCCTCCTAGAATTATACTAATAGGGGTGAGCTCGAGCTGTGTCTCTGTCTCCACATATGTCTGCGGAAACTTGAAAAAATTCATTTGGAGCAGATGATTAAGATAATTCTATTTGCTAGTAATGTATGTATCTAGGACAGTCTCGATTTCATCACTCTTGATCAAGGACTGAAAATGCAGCCCTTCCAATTTGACTCCTCAACAAATTGCTAATATATTTTGTTTTGCTTAGCAGCTATTTCCTGGTTCCTCCCTTTGCTCATTTCCTCCTCCATCTGTATTCATTAGAGTTTAAAAGGAACATCCTGTATATAACCAAGGAAGGTGGGAGCCAAAGATGTACCTTTTTTTTTGAGAAGGAAGAATGAAAAAAAGAATACAATTTGATACTAAAATAAATTCCTATTTATACATGACTATATATATCTATAGGCTGGATGATAATGTGAATTTAACATTACACTGCAGTTTATGAAGTTTATTGCCCAGTTTTAAAAAGTTCAGTTTCTTCCTGTGTAATCACACTGCTGTCAGTCAGTGTCTTTCTCTTCTTTCTCTCTTTCTCTCTCTCTCTTTTTTTTGACATTATAAGTCAGGAATATAATTACTATCTAAGGACAGAGAACAGGTTGCTCCAAATGCTGGTAGACATGAATGTTAATTGATAGCGAGGATAAAGAGGAAAGTCCTAATAGAGAAAACTGACTGTGATGTGTGTGTGTGGGGGGGGAGAGAGAGAGAGAGAGAGAGAGAGAGAGAGAGAGAGAGAGAGAGAGAGAGAGAGAGAAAAGGGGATAGAGAGATGGGGGGGAGAGAAGAGGGAGAGGAAGAAAAAGAAGGAGGGAGGAAGGGTGGGGGGAGGAGAGGGAGAGAGGAGAGGGAGAGAGGGAAAAGGGAACAGAGAAATAGATGAAGCAGAGAGAGAGGGAGGGAGACAGACATGGGGAAGAGGAGAGAGAGAAGAGAGAAGAAGGAGAGACAGGGAGGGAGGGAGGAAAAGAGAGAGACAAGAGGGAGAGGGAGGGAAAGAAGAGGTGGGAAGAGAGAGATGGAAGAAGGGAGAGATGGAGGGAGGGAGGGGGAGAGAGATTGATTGATTTTGCTCCAAATGTCTGCAAGTCAACATGGAGCAACAGTAAGAGCCAATAGTTGTTAGGAGTCACAATACTGCCTCTATGCATTTTGCCAGACTCTCAATACAACTGAGGTACCAGTTGGTTTGTTTAAGGAGGGAGACATTGAAAGGATGCCTGTTTAGATTCCACCCTCTAATGGCGACAGACCTCGAGGCTTCTCTTGGGACTGACTGACATTTATGTAAATTTGGTAAAGGGCTTATAAAACCTATGCCATCTAATTTTTCCCTCTGTCTTTTACTCTAATATTTCTGGGACATCCTTCACATTAGAAAATAGGTTTGAATTATGATTCTTTCAAAGATATGGCATTTATGATAATGCTTGTATTTAATGCTACCAAAAATGGCACATAGGACTTTCAAAAATGTGGGATTTTATATCAGTAGGAATTTTACATGCTCCTACCTTGTTTTGGGTTAGAACCCTCAAGGGAAGAAATATTCGGCAATATCCTATTAAACTTTGGAGGATCTGCGTGCATCAGGAAAAATCAGGGTATGTTATTTTCAGCTATAATGTCATTTGGTCTAAACAGAAAATCATATGGACAAAGACATACACCACACATCTGCCCTTGCACTTGGCTGTGATGCACTTAAACAAAACATGACTCCCACACCATACCAGAGCAAGCAATTGATGATTCCCAAAACACTGAATGGACATTAGATATAGAGCCACTTCCCTAAAAAGGCTTTGTGCTTACTTTTGAAATAAGGGGGCGTGTTCTTACACACACACACACACAAACAGGGACTTCTGCAATCCCAACTGTGTGTAAAGCCAGTATCTGAAACTAGAGGATAATATTGAAAAAATGATTTCTTACTTGAGGACTCCATTCTCTTCAGTTTATATTTTCAGATATGACCTGGCTGCATTAGTCTTTCGTGAGAGATTCTCTGGGGTGTGTTTTAAGTGTGAGCCATTATCTCTGAAAAGAAGTGGATCTATTTTCTATTTTTATATGTGCAATTTCTCAGGGAAGGAAAGAGGGATGACCAGTCATTTTGGCTTAAGAATCATCATCCTAGGTGTTTCCAAGGATAACTGTGATTTGTATGAATGCGTGTGTATATGTTTTCATGATGCTTTTACTTCAAAATATGTTTCTAGAGTTATGGGTTCCAATTCAGAAATAATCAAAAGCATTCATTAATTTAAGAATCTATATTATTTCTCTCTTGGATCCACCAATATACACATCAGAACAAAACAAGGATGGGCGTGGTGACTCAAGTCTGTAATCCCAGCACTTTAGGAGGCTGAGGTGAGAGGATTGCCTGAGCCCACGGGTTCAAGAACAGCCCGGGCAACTTGGCGAGAGCTCATCTCTACAATAAATCAAAATACTAGCTGGGCATGGTAGTGCATGCCTGTACCTGTAGTTCCAGCTACTTGGAAGGTTGAGGGGGAAGGACTGCCTGAGCCCAGCAGGTCGACACTGGGGTGGCTGTGAGCATGCCACTGCACTCCAGCCTGGGTGATAGAGTGAAACACCAACTCCAAAAAACAGAAACAAAAAACCCAAATTATGGAAGGCAGAAAACCACCAGGCTTAAAAGTTAATGTTCTAAAACTATTTTTGGCCAGGCATGGTGACTCACGCCTGTAATTCTATCACTTTGGGAGGCCAAGATGGGAGGATTGCTTGAGCCCAGGAGTTTGAGGCCAGCTTGGGCAAGATGGTAAGAACTCTACAACAGACAAACCAACAAATCAGATGTGGTGGCAAGCATGTGTGGTCTCAGCTACTGGGGAGGTTGAGGTGGAAGGATTGCCTGAGCCCAAGAGGTCGAGGCTGTGGTGAGCTGTGATGGTGCTACAGCACTCTAGCTTGGGTGACAGAGTGGGATCTCTAACTCAAAAAAAAAAAAAAAAGAAGAGGAAAAGAAAAGCTGATCTAATAGATGGAACAGAGCTGCCACTCTGTCACTTTGTTCTGCTCTGTTCTCATACATATATGAACAAAGGCAAAGGAATTCTTTTTTTTTTTTTTTTGAGTTGGAGATTCACTCCATCGCCCAGGCTGGAGTGCAGTAGCATGCTCACGGCCACCCCAGCGTCGACCTGCTGGGCTCCAGTAATCCTTCCGCCTCAGCCATCCATGTAGCCAGAACCACAGGCGCATGCCATCATGCCCAGCTAGTTTTTGATTTATTTAGAGACGAGGTCTCGCCAAATTGCCCGGCTGGTCTTGAACCCTCAGGTTCAGGCAATCTACTTGCCTGGGACTCCCAAAGTGCTGGAATTACAGACTGAGTCACTGAGGCCGACCCAAAGTAATTCTTTTTTTTTTTTTTGAGTTGTAGTCTCACTCTGTCGCCCAGACTGGAGTGCAGTGGCCGCTCCCGGCCCCCGCAGCCTCGCCCTGCTGGGCTCTGGCGATCCTTCCACCTCAGCCTTTCAAGTAGCTGGAACTACAGGTGCGCGCTACCACACCCGGTTGATTTTTTAATTTATTGTAGAGATGAGGTCTTGCCAAGTTGCCCAGGCGGGTCTGGAATCCGCGGGCTCAGGCAATCCACTCACCTCAGCCTCCCAAGGTGCAGGATTACAGGCTGAGCCACCGAGCCCGGCTCCAAAGGAATTCTTAATGTTCATATGTCTCAAAACTTATACATGAAAAATGAAGGTAAAAATTTCACACATGTGTAACCAGATGTTAAAAATAAATTAATATTTGGTAACATGTAGGCAAAATATGCAAGTGATTGACTGAATGCTGCTTTTCACTTGAGTGTTTTGATGATGGGTAGTTAATGAATTAATAGAACAAGGCTACTTGATTTGTGATGATAAGCTTAGAAAAACTATATTTGCACTTTTAGCAAATTAATATTACCTATATTCCTAGAAATTGTTTATTTTCAAAAGACTTCAAATCAATGGGATGGTTTCACATAAAACATATTTATATCATTAGTATCAGATTAAGACAATCTTAGTCTGGTGAAATAGTTCTCACTATCTTTTCAGGCAGTAGAGGCAAAGTCAGGTCATAAATAGGGGTGATGATTTTGTGAATTGAGTGTTAAGTATTTAATGACTTGTTTGCCTTGATGAAATGCAAGTAATACAATAATTTATTATTCCTTTAATAAGTTTTGCCAAGTCATTTAAATAAAAACAATAATTTTATATAAAATCAATTTAGAAATGAGTTCTGAAAATTAACTCCGTAAATTAACTTTATTCCATATTCCAATAAATGAAATATCTATTGGTGCCTATATTTTAGTATTGCTCTTTTCCTGGTGTTTTATGACATTTTTTTCCCAAGAATGCAAGGTTCCAGTTTAAGAACATTCTTATATGTATCAAAAAAATTAACGCAGGTCATACTACCTCCAATTCAGTAAGATTACTTGACTTGTTTGGAATTATCAATATAATCACTTTAGTTACAATCTGTTCCTTACCTAGAATATAATTTTCTTCTGTGTTTTGAACCTAAGATAGTGTCTTGGGTAGTGAAAGCCTTATTCTTGCCTGGGAATATAATTAGACTTTTTTTTCAAATAATTTTTATTATGTAGAATGTCTAACCTTCCTGAACAATTAAAACACAGACCCACCAGCATCTATCATGTAGAAATCTTGATCTAATCTACACATATCTCCAGTGGAACAAAATTTTGTGTACTATGTGTTTTCCTTGGGAGGAAAAATGTTGTCCTGAAAAAAAAAAAATTGAAATTTGTGTCCCCTACACTCCCATAGTGTGCTACTGTCTACAAATACAAATTTTAATATTTGGCCATGATGAGATTTTTACCTTAATATCTCCTCTTAATTTTTTAAAACTTATCTTGTTGTATAATTCCAAGGCCAAGTAAGAAAACAACTTAAAATTAGTCATTTACTCTCTGTTTGCTTTTTACTCTAAACTCCTGGCATGTAGTAAATATTCAAAAAATATTACTAACAAATGTTTAATTGCCAGAAGTAAGTTAATTGGAGGCTATTTTAATAGTATAATTGAGACCATTTCTATCTTATGTCCAATTCCATTGAAAGCCTTTGCAAAACATGAAGCTTCTGAGAATTCTTAGCCAATGGGTCATTTGATTCCAGTAGCTACAAATTGCAAATAGAAAAAAATGATAATGCATAAAAAGTATTTGTATTGTCTCTTTGGTTGAACTGTTGTAGAATTTTTCCTTCCTTCCTTTCACTTTGGATCTGAATTCAACCTGAGAAATATAGGGAACAGGGTGAGGGGTGGCATTTTGGTTCCTGTCTCCCATCTCTATGTAAATTCTTTAATCAGTTTTCATAATCAGGGGAAAGGAATGTAGGGAGTTGTAACTTTCCTCAGCAGAATATAATAGTTTCTCTTTCTTTTTTTCATAAATCAACTAAGGAACACCATTGGGCCAATATGAATGTCAAAGAGTATAGTTTGTTATAAAGCAAAGAAAACTGGGAGTCAGAAGATGAAAAGTCTGTCCCAGTTCTGCCATCAAGGAACTGTCTGGCTGTTAATTTCTCTGAATGCCACTTTCCTTATCCATAAAACAAAGATGCTGGGTAAGAAACCTCTAAGTTTTCTCTCAGCTGACAAGTTCTACCTCCGTCACTCCAGTGTTTCTTTTCATGGCCTAGTAGCATCACACTAAAGTTCATGAAAAGATGAAAGCTGTTAGATGAGGCATATGCCTTTTGGAGAGTCTGTGGAATTAGAAGTTCCCTGGGTAGATGGGGAAATTATTGCTGCATGCCTTGACTATGGACCTTTTGATTGTAACAATGAAACCCAAACTGAAGTTGAGAAATTGTTATCGAGGTGACTGGAAGAATCACTGTGTGCTTGTAGATAGCCAGTCATTCAGGAATAGTCTTTTATGAAAATCACTTCTTAAGAATCCTGGTTCCAAACATCTGGAAAAAATACGTGCATTTGTCTTCAGGAACTCCGTGACTGCACGCCAAAGACTATGTCTATGTCTGGAGTGTGGAGACTACAATCACATACCACACAACTGCCCCCTTTAAAAATAAACAAAATACCTGAAATGTCCATCTGATGCTGTTATTCTACTGTTATTTTAAAATTTAAAATGACACCTATGGGAAGCCTCAAAATATCTATTGAGGGGAAATTTATTTGAGATATGGCACGTGTAAAGTGAGCTCAGGCAGGGCTGGAACCCCAAATCTACCACTTGGATGAGTTCTGTAACTTCTCTGTACCTGAGCTTTTGTGGAATTATGACACTACCTGCTACTTGTTGTCCTCAAGACTGAATGAATTACTATTTGCATTGCATTGTAGGGAACCTACAATGAATGTAAACTCATTCTATTTGTGGTTGCTATTGTAATAGAAATCAAATTACTGTAGTATAAACAGTTGTCACTGACTTGAAGTAAGAAAGATAATGTGTGCCCCCTATGTTTTTTGCAAACTTAACTGTTCCCAAAGCACGTGATTCCTTTTTTTTTTTTTTTTTGATGAACAAACTTGT